AAGACCTACATCTTACTTCCCCAAAATGGTATTAAAAGGTGCTATATCATTATTTTGAAATGCTTCCCTGACTTTAAATGTAGACTCAAAGTCAATCCTAGGAACAGTTATGAAGTCCCCTATCTAAAATCTACTCCATGTGCCTTTAGCTTCTTCCTGTTACACAATAGTTTTGCCTTCAGATATTTTACTAAAATATAGATGCTTGAATGCAGCTTACTTGAAAATTAAAGCCCACTCAAAACTCTGCCTTCAAAAGTTATTTGAACCTGAAACCACAAAAGCCGAAGTCTAGCTTTAATACAACACAACCCAATAGTGAATACACAGTAACAATGCTTAACTGTTCAGTTAGTTTTTTCTCCTTCATTATTTTCATCTCTCACTGAATACTTCTTTGAAGTTACTGCACTTGGAATATAACACAAGTTGAGATGAATTTTGTTCCCTTGAAAGTTAATGTAAGAGAAACTATCATATCCTGACAAAATTAAGCCATGCTTCAACTATTCCTACTTGGAAACTGACTCGAAGGTAGAAATAAAACATATGATTAGTTCAGCAATGAGGAACAATAAGAAAGTTTATGCAGTCATCCATAACCTGAAAGAGTTCTTCCGACAAGCAAAACTTTTCTCTAGTTACTCATATGTGGTTGCCCAAAAAAGCACATCTCATGAAATGTGCCATCTGAAGCCTTCTTTGAAAAGACTTGCAGAATCTTATAAGAACCAAATGAGATAGGAGCATTTTGCAGACTAATGTGACCAAGAAGGAATCAAGAACTTGCATACATAAGGCAAAAGAACATCTTTTTTACAGCAACAATTAAAAGATATAGTATGGACAAAAAAAGCCAAGTATGTTAGAAAGTGAAAGAAAATCTCAAGATCTCTGTAATGCACAAAACACATCAGGAAGGCAATAGAAACAAATCAAAGATTGGGGCTGGTGGCTACTCTTAAATAGGTACCACAGTTTATGTATCTTGCAACCCTGTAAAAGTTTCTGTGTTTAGGAGTGAACAAGAAGTACTTGATAACACTCATCTATGATAATAACACCAATTTTCCAGGCAAGGACAGCCAGGGTAGGGAAATCTGAGACTTTAGAAGTCAACCACACTCATCTGACTAGATTTCTATGTTTCTTAAGATTCTAGTTTCACTGTCCAAATCAAATGTCACCCAAGGTGAATGCATAACATATTCTCCCATGAGTTCCCATTCCACAAATACATGCCCTCTTCATCTAGTGAGTCTTAAGTCCATGGTTTTTAAACTGCTAGGATTTGAAAAATGTCTATTTTACCTCTGAGGCATCTCCTCCACTTTCCCCTTCCCCCACATTCCTTTCACTCTGGAGGATAAAACCACAGGTATAATCAAGGGTCATGACACAATGACAAAGAATGGAGCATGAGAAACACAAGGAAGCATAAGAGACCCAGACTCACATCTTTGCTCAGAGATATGCAAAACCTTTCTTCTAATTGCAAGAAGATCCATTCCTGTTTGGACTGTATGTAGGATGAAAATAGCAAGTATATATGAGTATAAATGAGACTCTAGAAACAAAGGACTTTTAGTCTCTTGGCCCTTTTGCAATCTTTTCACAAAGATTCAGCCATTCACCTCTTCATCTTGCTTGCCCTGATCACTTAAAATGATATAATAAGGAACTATGGAAA